TGTATTAAACTAGTTCTAATTCCCTAAAGGCAAAAAAGAACACTCATTGGCTGGATACAATAGTGTTGCTTTTCATAAACCTTTAAGTTTTAAAAATATATTAATCAGGATTTCCAATACAATTGACCTTTCCTATTTATGCTTGCAGAATAAAAGGAAAATAAACTGAATGAAATGTCTAACAATGAAAATATCAATTCTTGGCAATAAATGAAACTACTTCATTGGACTAATGAAAATTAGATTGGTTGTAATAAGAATAAGGGAATGTTTCAAACAATGAATGCTGTGGTGGCCATTTTGAATTTTTCAAAATTCAAAACTATTTCAATTTAATCTGTTTGATTGGCATTTAGAAGTTGATGAACAATATGAAAGGTAAGACACTTTATGGATGACATAGCTAGGCACATGCAGAACATGTTACGTGAAAATAATATTGCTATGTGAAGCAGACTGAGAGAAGATATTTTCAGTGCAAAAACATGGCAACATTCACTCAGGTGAGCAAATAAATTGAAATTTTGACAAGCTACAACAATGACTAATGACAAGGATCGTTCTCTGTTTCACAATCATTTACACCTCTTATCTATTCCACAATTATTGACATATTTTGTTAACCAAGTAACAATTAAAATATTAATTGTTACAATACTGAAGTGTCAGTAGAAAATATTTCTAGGTTATACTGGGCATTCTTGCAGGAATCCTATCTATTCTGTTTTCAGCGATATCAAATACTTTAACTATTAAAACAGCATATTTATCTCATTAAAAACACAGACAGCTGATCTGCTAATTAGGGAGTAACTATGGTATCATGGATGACATCAACACGAGGGAAGGTATCTAGAGTATTTTTATTGGACTTGATACTGAAATGATAACCAAGTTTGTCAATAATTTGCGTCAGCAAGATAAGATAAAAGCGTCATCCCCTTCATGCTGTGTCCTCACTGGAGCCTGCGCATCAATTATTGATCAAACTTCGGGAGAAGAAAAGAGTGCTTAAAGAACGAATACATCATAAAAGTCTGCTCTCAAGCCAAGACATGAAACAATGGATGTCTGTTTAATTTGTCTCAGTGGTTGCAGACCACGACGGTTCCATGAAAATTTGTCAAAAGTGCTTAGTATTGGGAAGAAGTAGTACATGACTATAATCAACCACAAGTTGTGGCCATGTTCTCACTGGTCAGGTGAGGTGTGGGGGTGAAAACAGGGCTAACCATCATGGCCAACACTACTGCACACATAGCATCATGCATGCACATTTATGTGCATGATGATGTGATGTGTGCATATACTAGTCGAGACTTATATCACATCTAGCCTACTGTGATACAATGCCACAGTTTTAACATAGATACCCCCACATTATTCTGACAGAGCCAATCAGTACCACAGCATACCTTGTTCATCTCATCATGCCAAGCCTCAGGCAGGGAAACAACAAGTAGCCTGTTTTAACATCTACTGGCAGGATGTGCAAGGATCAAAACATGGATCTTTCACTCCATGGGCAGGCAGCTCTCTCTGCTACCAGATGACGTAGGTGGGCAGATGGACTTTTTGTATAACTACTAGCATGACAATATTGATTCAGATTAGGTATTGTTTGGCCATGTTTGTTTCATCAGTATCTAGGTTTCACTGGAAAACAAAGTGAGTGAGTTGTACAGATTCTGTGGTACAGACAAGTGACCAGAGGCAGTGAGTGGATGTGTCAGTCCGTGCGGCTTGAGGCTGGATTTAACAATATCCCAGCTAAAGCCATGATAACATGGCAACACCTGGAATGGGTTCAACACAATTATATAACCCATGTCGGGCCTCAAACCCTAGTTTTAGTTTGAACAAGTGAACATTTGAACCTCTTGACTAATCACTGCTGATGAAAAACATACGACCATCTACCCCTTGTTCACAATGCTAGTTTGTCGTGTTCCTTACATATATACATTTCACTTCTTCCTACTTATTCCCAATATATCAAAGAGGGTCAAAAATGGATAATTGATTCATTGGATCCTTCCTGAAAATCCAACTCTTAAGGATTGATGAACTTTAAAATGATCTGTCTCTTGAAATACTCAAATGCAAAAGTACCTTATGTTTATAATATCGTTCTGGCCCCGGATTACACTTTCTCAGTAAAGCACTGATTCTAGTACTTTTGTTTGGTTGACTCCCATCCGGGATTCAAACCCACACTCTCAAAGTGAGGCATCTGATTGCCTGCAAAACAGTCAGGCAGCTAACCCACTCTGCGCTGCAGTGTCCAGTTCCTGTATGGGACTCAACCTAACAAAAGTACTAGAATCGGTACTTTACTGAAACAGTGTAATCCCAATTCTAAGATGCTTTGGTGAAAGATCAAAGGTGCCGACAGTACTTTATCAGGCGATAAAGTGCACTTTTGTATTACGTCACAATGTAATGCATTTCTAGTCTGCCCCCTCGTGTCGAACAATTTTGCATTATGTCACAATGTAAGTGGCGTCCGCGATGCATGTGAGTTGTCATCGCCTCATTACAGCCTCTTACAGTAAACTACTCCGTTGCATCCCGTTTCTTGGTTTGTAGTTGCTTCGCGCAGCTAAGGTCACTGGTGAAAACATTACGTTTATGGTTTCCGGCGTTTAAAATGTCTCAATTTGACTCACAAGTTTTCAGCAACACGGTAACTTTTATGCAATGTTTACATTCCCACAATGCAATCGTGGAATGTTGCTTGACTACTCAGCTTCATCTTGATGTACTGATCTAAACTTCACGTTGGTAGTAGAAATCACGGCGTTCATATTGCCCCATATGGTTTTACGCTAATAACAGATATAATTAAAATAATTTAGAAGATATTTAATGTGAGCCTAAACCGTCATCAAACTGTTTATCATTTGTTTTTCCTTATGCGTTAGTCTTAGCGTAGAAGTGGCGAACACATCAATAGAACAGTCGCGTCGTTTGTTTTCTGCCTTGGATTAATGTGGCATAATTATCCTTAGAAAGTATTAAATTTGGCATCTTAGAAAGAAATACAGTTAAGCTCTACCACCATGTATAGTGTAATAAAGCACACTTTAGCCCTGAACTATTCGTCCGAGTGCTTTAGCGTTATAATAGTTCAGAGGCGAAAGTGTGCTTTATTACACTATACATGGTGGTAAAGTGAACTGTATTTCTTAAATAACATGCTACATTTGACCCTGTAACTAAATGTTCTAAATGACATTGTGTATTGATGGCGATATGTGTATGTAACAATGAATGACTGAGATCAACACAACCATGCAAAGTGAGGGAAGCCAAGTGGTTAAAGTGTTAAATTTCGTCAGCCAAAGACCCAGGTTCGATTCCCCATATGGATACAATGTGTGAAGCCCATTTCTGGTGTCCCCGCCCTGATATTGCTGGAATATTGATAAAAGTGGCGTAAAACTAAACTCACTCACTCACTCACAACCATGTGAAGCACTCCCTATCTGACAAGTCCACAGCCAAAGGGATATCAATCCAGCCACAATCTGTGGCATGTTTGATCACTGTCAGAACCAAATGTAATATCAACTAGACATGCGCTCAGCTGCTAAAATTTCGAAAGCAAAACAATTCACCAAATAACAGATCATCCTTGTCTATTATCGGGAATCAATAGGCAATATGTTACTACAGTTTAGTTTTTCGCATTTACAGTTTCGATGAGGACATTACATAAGCACAAAAACATCCATGACTAATCATGGAAATATGAGTAGATGATATGTCAAAGATGGCATACAGTATTCTGGTAACTAGGGCACCAGTGAATACACTATGAAGCAAATGCAATATGTTTTCCAAATGTATAGTAACCATTCACAGAATATCTATTCATGAATACTTTATGTTTAATATCAAGGAATTAAAATAACACACATAATGTAATTGCTGAAGAACATTTCAGTGAAATGTTCTGTGAAGTGAAAAAGCAATACATCATGAACAAAGCTGCTTATAGCATGATGACAGTGCCGTAAAGGGTCACCGGCAAAATAACACAAGTTATGCTACTCCATGGAAGGGATATATTCCATTTTGTGAATATCACATAGATAAACAACAAAATACTGGCAAACAAGGATAAGTTGGACTGGTGCAGACAGGACGTTTACGAGAAGTAGGTGGTGCACGGCAATGAGCAAACCCATATGGTTTGTGAAAGGTAGAGCAGATGTAGGCTAGTGCATGTGCATTGCATGACGATGAAATTGATTCCGCGTAGCTGCACACGCCTTGCTCATAAGACTCTCACATCGATGTAGCAGGTTGCACTACACTTGATCACGGACAACTTGGGTCCCCAGATTATCATGAAAGTGTGTTAAACAATAATATATCAAATTCCTCATAAAGGTGGAATAATTATGTGTCATCACTTTTTGCAATATTTAATCCTGAAGTCATTTACAGGCATGTATTATGTAACCTGTACAAAAGGCTGCCTTTAGAGATGTTTCTCTGCAGGTTTGACATTTAACATGTTTTTTCTACATTTTCTCTCTTAAAATGTCAACAACTTACTCAAACCTCACAACTAGGTGTCATCTGCGTGCTGCTAAAAGGCTAAGGATTAACGCCATTTGTTCACAGGGGAAGAAAGTCCACAATTTCTCTAAGCATGTTGGGTTATTTTCTAAATTTTCTAGTGTTTTTAATACGACTTCCCCTTCTGTGGACCCTGTTATTGTTTTCATTTGAACATAAGCATCTGAGTACCTAATTTTGAACACTGCCACTGAAAAATAGACATGAGAACGGCAAAGCACAAAAACACTGACAATTTACCTGGGGGTCTTGTGGGTCTTTTATTTACATTGGTCTCAAAAACAATCAAAATGAAACAAAAATCCCGGAAATTTGCGGATCCGCAGACAATTCTCATGTCTGAAAATACAGATAATTAAACATCTTTGTTACCATGGTAACAATAAAAGAGAGAGATGAAACTGACTTACCTAGGTAAGCGGGTGCCTTTTCCTTGACCACGTGATTATCAACGTATGTCGTTCCAAGGGTCAAAATTGGTGTGCCTCCAGTCCCAATAAATATCTGTGCCACAACCAGTATCAACACGTACATCCAGTTCCCAGAATTCTCATCTATACAATCTGTTGAAAAATAACCTCCTCTATTTGCTCCTGGGCGGCTTGCAAATACTGACATCAGTTTTATTTGACACATCATAGCCATTGTGGGCCGGTGTATTTTGGCCCAATGATATGTGGCATTGCAAAAGTAGTGCCCCAATTCCCATGAAAATAATGCCAAAGCCAATCCATTTTGGTATATTTCTCCTGCCACCTAAATAACTTACAAAATAACAGCAACAAGGGACCCAAATTCATGCGAAGCTGCGATAAGCCCTGATATTGAACTGCCAATCTCGAACCTCTTCTCAATAGTCGTTATAACACTGTTTAGGTACCCAGTTGACAAGCTTCGTCGTGTCGTAAGGAGCACACACATGAAAAAAACACAAACAGCTTGATATTTGCGCACTGTTTTAAACACTTTGGTCGGATAGTTCCAATTCCACACTCGTTGCTCAACTTCTCCTGTCCGTGCTGCCAGTTTCCCTCTTGGTCGACACTTTCGATGTAGTCATCTTTTCCGTCTTCCCTTTCAGGAACTGAGTCTGACTGCTGATGGAGTACCAGCTGTTGGAACTCTCGAAGCTGACCTGAGGGTCAAGGCCACTTGGGCCACCCCAGCCTTCACGTACTGTGTACACTGTAGACATGGTACTGTCCGTAGTGATTCCAGAAGTTTGGTACACTAATCACACTTGTGTTTCGCAAAGTAACAGGAAAGCCTTCAATAATCTTGGTGATGTGTTTCGTATTTACGTTGTAAACTGTTGATTACACGCTTCATATGTAAAGATATATAGTTGATTTACAAAATAGTGTTATGAGATAATAATCTAGGCAAAATATAATTTGTTATATATAAATGAATATATTGGTCCAGTGGTTTTGGTCAGATAGACAGGTTTGGCTGTGGATATTGTTAGTCAGCGGGATTGGTGTGGCTGTGCAGATACGTGGTCATGGGGAGAGGAGGGTGTTGCTTTCACCTCTGCCCCATCTTTGTATTATCTGTCCTGCAAGATTGCCATTTCTGAAACAGAAGAAACAGCCATGAATAAAGCATTCATAATGTTCATCTTGAAGAGTTAAGCACAGTTGGCATCGCGATATAATGAGCAGGTTTGGATTATCTCCCTCACACATCACCACACAGTCTACTCTCACATAAATATAATGTAGTGTCTCGTTTCACACAGTATCACGAAGTGCTACAACTTCTGTAATACTTCCACAAAAGTGCTTGCCCCAGGCCTTACAACTTTACACTCATTGTGAAACCCATGGGCACAATTATGCAGCTGACAAACCTAGAAACACAATCTGGGAGACCAGGACTTGAACCCACAATCACAGGTTCCTGGTGTGTAAAGGGGCATAACTCTGCACCCCAAATAGCAGTGCCTGAGACTGCATGGTCACTTAGCACCCATTAATCAAGCAATTTCTGCATCAGACTACACAGGTTCATGTGAGATGATAGATACAGCAAGTACAGTATATATTAAAAGTAAAACAATATACATTGTACATATAAATTAGATATTAAGCATACAGCAAGCGTTTGTGTCATATTCATGAATATTAATCACTTAATTTTTAAACTGATGTCCATGATGTAGGCATACAGCTGATACCAAACATGAGACATTGCTAATGAGCGATTATGACCAAGGAAAACCGATTCAATGGTTGACAGGCGTTGATAATATTTCAACATCCTACCTGTACTTACATGTACTTACCTGTGGTGGTTGATCAGGCCGCTGAGGTACAACAATAACAACTGATTCCCAGATAACAATTTCCAAAACAGAAGCTCCGAGTTCCTGGCTACTGCTCTCCACAACAGGACCCAATCAAGTGATAATATCGACTGTATAGTGACGACCAGAATGAAACCCAATCAGCACATCAAAGTATAGATTAATGCCTTTGTGCCCAAGTTCACAAATGTTCTATGCAACAATCCCACCAACCATCAATGAACACAAATAGGAAATAATCAGCGTGATGATATTTCTGCAACAAAGCAGCAGCCGCCCTCCTCAGGGTCACAGTGCCATGGATTCAGAAGTATATAATTTGAACAGCTTTTAATCCTCTTTTTGCTCATTCAATTACGTCATGCGATTTCAGAGACAATCTGGAATTCATCAGTCCGCGAGGAGAGCTCCATATGCAAACTCCACAAAACAATAGGTATGCCATGTTGTATAGTCACTCATATTTACCAAATTTAAAACATTCATGATAAGCATGCTTATATATGCATCACACAAAGGGGATTATTGATTTCAGGGCGGATACCATTTGGATGGGCGTGGCACTCTGCCATCTGGGAAACGATGCCAATCCAATCTCCAATCATTAGGTTGTCAAACAGTCAATGCTCTGTTCATTTCCAAAACAGTGTTATAAATCCGCCATTTGTCTGTGAGCATCACTGAGCACAGATTGTTTACATGCCCACACATACAGTTTATACGGTGCTAGAAATATAATATTGATGAAACTAAACAAAGCACATCAAATATCGGTTGGAAATGCGATAGTATGTTATTCAGCAATAGAATGTAAGGATTCACTCCATGGTTATAACTAAAGTATATGAGGGTATAATGAGTTATTGTCATCAGTCAATTGTACCACGCCAACAGACTGGTTCCACTGGGAAAAGGTTTACTTCCAAACTTGTGGGGGCGGTAGCCTAGGGGTTAGGGTGTTAGCTCATCATGCTGAAGACCTGGGTTCGATTCCCTACATGGGCACAAGCCCATTTCTGGTGTCCCTCGCCGTGGTATTGCTGGAATATGGCTAAAAGTAGCATAAAACCCAACTCACTCACTCACTCTAAAACTGTCCCTAGGTAACGCAGTTTCTACTACAGAGAATGCACATGCGGCTCAGCTATGTTCAGGTTGGCTTGATTTTCGTATAATGACAAATATTTGACATAAAGAGGGAATATGGTTGTTAAGTTTTTGTCCATTTTATTACAACCCTTGGTTTGAGATTAGCACACCAGAGATGAAGCATGTTCAGAGTCTCTGTAACGGCTAACAGCATCAAGGGAAGGTGAGGAGGTAAGTCAGCGTAACATTACTTTGAACAGTACGGCAGTTATATCACGGCATGCCATCTTTATGTCATCTGTATGTTGCAGATGTTTACTACTTTGCTGAGGGGCAGTGGGGAAGCCTAGTGGTTAAAGCATTCGCTCGTCACGCCGAAGACCCAGGTTCGATTCCCCACATGGGTACAATGTGTGAAACCCATTTCTGGTGTGCCCCGCCGTGATATTGCTGGAATATTGCTAAAACCGGTGTAAAACTAACCTCACTCACTCACTCACTCACTCACCATTTTGCTAAAACCCTCAAGCTGGAAACACCACAAACACAATCAGGGTCAATCAGGTAACAAACCCACCATCATAGCTATCCCAGGAGATATTGCTGTTTAACAAACCTTGGCAGACCATTATGACCACATTGGTTACAGTGACATCACAATCAAATGACATCAATGATCATTCTGTTGGTTACCAATACTTTTTCCATTTAAGACTGTTACAAACGGTAACACATTGACTTTGTCATCCAAAGTATCCAAAAAGAATCTCACCCATATGTCATTCGCCATAAAATATATCTCTACTCCATGACAAATGTTAAAAACCCTGAGGCTTGATATATGATATCAGGGCTCCAGATAATGTTTCAACATCAGGAGTACGTACTCCTTATTTGTTCAATATAGGAGTACTGGAAAACCTTATGTGTATATTTAGAGTACTGAATGGAAATTAATGGAATATCAGTAATCTTGTGTTTCGTTTCATATATGCACCACAATATTGCTACTCTTGTGTTAACAGGTCAATAAATAATAAAACAATACTTTGTTTCAGATAAATACGTCTGTAAGTGATTCTAAGACCGTACACCATTGCTGTGGTGCGTATCTGCTACGTTTTTTAAATTATTTCCCACCGTATCGTGCATATTTTTATCCGATTTTTTATTTGATACGGCCCTTATCTGGAGCCCTGTGATATTGATGTATGACATATTAACATCAACACACGTCAATACATATTCATACTGGTCAACAAGCCGCAGAGTTTACTTGTGTCGACATGCAGGCATATATTTGATCTAAAAAGACACATGGGAGATATTTTCTAATCTGGTCCTTCAACAATACCATCGGTGAGCAGAGTACACAAGCACACTGCAAGGTCCACCAACATGAAGATAGTACTAACGAAATGTATGACCTTACATGACAGAGTCACGACACAGGGAGAGATGTATCAGCTGCAATTCTAGCATCATGAGTTGAAAGATAACATAACTTCGACACTGTACACTACCTGCCTGTTGATGCCTAGCGAGGATTCTAGTGATGGTAGACACATAAAGAGTCTTGCCACTGCAGTTGAGGTTGAGATTGCTTATGTCTTCCTAACAGTAATGCCTCTCTCAGAGGTTCAGTTAATCAAACCAAATTTCTTTTCCTTTTTCACAGTTGAATGTGATTTTTGGGGTGTTTTTTGTCATTGTAACCATGAAGGTTTTACAAAAGGGAAAACACACATTTTTTCATGTCATTTGCACTGCAAGTAAAAAACATGATGGAACGAGGGTATTCCCAAATTGAATGACGCAAACAATGAACGGTATTTTTTCTTGAAATTTCTTTTTGTCCGTTTACATTTGTTTTCAGAAATTATTCTTGTAGGTATTTCACAAAGAAAAAACTTGACTTGAATTTCTTTTTACAGTTAAGTATACATCATTCGGCTTTGTGATGTTTTATCACATAATTTCACCTTTTCATTGGTTAAGTTTACTACATGTGTCTGTTCACCTGAAGTGATACAATGTAGTTTCTTTACAGTGCATAATACTTGGAAAGAAACAAGTTTAAGGTTGGAGTGCACATAATGTTCGTGGGTGCATGATAGTCCAGAAAGTACGGCCAAAATCATTTAACAAACAGTTACTTCTACAGGGACAATCAGGGACAATAATACATATTTACAGGACACTGTTCACTGTGACCAATAAACCTTGAAACCACACTGATGGCTTGTCAATTTGTCTTCAAATGATTAATTCTCTCACATCAACCACAGACAAATAACTAAATACGCTTCAGAGAAGTCCAGCTTTACAGCTCATTATAATCATTGTAAAAATTCTTTCTTACCATAGTGAAACAATGGTCACTGTGAGATTATCCCAGAGTAGTGATACACGGCGTGGTACGGCAGTTATCACCCACTTGAGACACTATTCCAGTACTTCCCGAGGTGCCTGTCACACACACATCCTTCCTTTCCCTTCTCCTCATAGACACTTACACATCATGACATGTCAAATTTCATGAATTTCAAATATATGTTGCCTTGACATTTTGCAGTTATATATCTGATTATTTTTCATAATCTCTCCAATCCAAGTGAGAACTTTGATACATATGAGACAAGAGTGTCTGAGTCAGCTTGTGCCATATGTCATTAGAAAAATTATTACTTTTGATGAAATGTATAACAGCTTAGAGCCTTGCTAAACACAGGCACATGGTCTTTTTAACATACAAATTTAACTTTTACAGTGTTCTGCCATGTTAGATGCGTTGACAACAATAACACAATGAAACTGTGGATCCATTCAGCCCCAGAATCCCCATGTGAGACAAACAGTCGGTCCTAAAGATCCATTCAGCCCCAGAATCTCCATGTGAGACAAGCAGTGGGTCCTAAAGATCCATTCAGCCCCAGAATCTCCATGTGAGACAAGCAGTGGGTCCTAAAGATCCATTCGGCCAAAGGAATCCCCATGTGAGACAAACAGTGGGTCCTAAAGATCCATTCAGCTCCAGAATCCCCATGTGAGACAAGCAGTGTGTCCTAAAGATCCATTCAGCTCCAGAATCCCCATGTGAGACAAACAGTCCTAAAGATCCATTCAGCTCCAGAATCCCCATGTGAGACAAGCAGTGTGTCCTAAAGATCCATTCAGCCCCAGAATCCCCATGTCAGAGACAAGCAGTGTGGATCCTATCCATTCAGCCCCAGAATCCCCATAGGATTAAGCAGTGTGTCCTGAAACAAGCAGTGGGTCCTAAAGATCCATTCAGCCCCAGAATCCCCCCATGTGAGACAAGCAGTGTGGTCCTAAAGATCCATTCAACCCATGAATCCCCATGTAGAAACAAGCAGTGGGTCCTACCATTCAGCCCCAGAACCCCAGACAAGCATGTCCTAAAGATCCATTCATCCAGAATCCCCATGTGAAACAAGCAGTGGGTCCTCTGGCTCCATTCAGCCCCAACCCATGAGGTCGGGTTTAGAATCCCCATGTGAGACAAGCAGTCAGGGATCTGGGTTGACACATGTCCATTCAACCCCAGAATCCCCATGATTATTTACAGAGAAACAAGCAGTGGGAAACTAAACCTACCATTCAACCCCAGAATCCCCATGTGAGACAAGCAGTGGGTGGATCCTACCGAGAACCCATGTCAGAATCCCCATTGTAGAATCCCCAAGCAAGTGGGTCCTACCATTCAGCCCCAACCCCAGAATCCCCATGTGAAACAAGCAGTGGGTCCTACCATTCAACCCCAGAAATCCCCATGTGAGACAAGCAGTGGGTCATACCATTCAACCCCAGAATCCCCATGTGAGAAACAAGCAGTGAAACAAGCAGTGGGTAAAAGATCCATTCAGCCCTAGAATCCCCATGTGAGACAAGCAGTGGGTCCTACCATCCAACCCCAGAATCCCCATGTGAAAATAGCAGTGGGTCCTACCATTCAACCCCAGAATCCCCATGTGAGACAAGCAGTGGGTCCTACCATTCAGCCCTAGAATCCCCATGTGAGAAGATCCATTCAGAATCCCCATGTGAGACAAGCAGTGGGTCCTACCATTCAACCCCAGAATCCCCATGTGAGACAAGCAGTGGGTCCTACCATTCAACCCCAGAATCCCCATGTGAGACAAGCAGTGGGTCCTACCATTCAACCCCAGAATCCCCATTAGTGAGCCAAGCAGTGGATCCTACCATTCAACCCCAGAATCCCCATTGGGGCAACTCAGCCCTGGAATCCTCAAGGGAAAGGTGTTAATATAATTAGCATCAAGTTATCATTGCAATCCAATAATAGTTTTTGTAATCACATTTCCCTCTCCATTTGTCTGTGACGGCTATGACAGAATAATGGCTGTGCAGACCAAGCATCCTCCTCAGTCTGGTGCCAAGATATGGCAGCCTGCAGAACAGTACTGTGGCAAAAATGGTACGCTGTTCCTGACAATAAAATCACACTAGGCCAGTGATCAAGTAATCAGCTTCTTTCGGCTTTACACAAAAATTGAGATTAATTGAATGATTGAACCTAAATTAGAATCATTGCCTGAAAGAATGAAAAATGTGATGAGACCAATAAATTCTTAATTGGTTGATGAAAGAGACCAACTAAGTTGTTCTGATCTGTAGCAGTGACGTGCTACCTCACAACACTTGTACACCCTTGGATGGAACTGTTGCCAGATAACAGACAGCTTATGATCCTGAAAATCAATCAGTCAATGAAACAGTGACTAAAAAAAACGTCAAAAGCGATAATGTCCCTCTAAGTCCACCAGTATACATCATCCTAGTCACCAGGGTACCTCATTAAGGAGTAGAGAATGATTAACTGGAACATCAACGCCATAATCGACACGTCCGCAGTGAGCCCACCCTGTCTTAATTCACTTGATATTGATCAGCCATGAGGAACCATACAAGTAGAAAGCCATGACCAAACTCAGACAACTTACCTACGTAAATTGCTGGTAGAAATTATTAGATTACCTCCAAATGAACAATGTCTGCCATACACAATGTAGTGAAGAAACACCAGCGTAATACCCTCCACTGAAGAGGGCTGGGACCCACACAACGCCATCTACACATTACGTATCACATCCTCCAGAGATACCCCACAAGAAGAACCCTAGCTAGTAATTTCTGTAACAATCTTAATACAATACGATTCTGGTAAGATAATCAAGTTACATTCTATATATAGAAAGAAATGTCTGAAATTAGATCGCCAATTTAAACAATATGCTTAGCTGCATATACGTCATTGCCTGTGAAGCTGTGAGCTTCTAATTTTGAAAGGTAATCATGTGTTGGTGCTGGAGGGAATTTCGGACATTGGTCTGATAATTCTTCAACTTATAGGTCATCTTCATGGCTTGATGGGTCACTGTGAAATGCTGGAGAATAA